AAGATTACATGTTTGGAAACATTTTACGGTGAATAACACATATTCATAAAAACTAAAAGAAAAACAGTTTTGCAATAATCAAAAACACTCTCGTTTGCATTAGCTTCAGTGGCTTCATCTTCAATTATTTGTATTGCGTATCAAAAGAAGAATTATATTTATCACAAAAATTAACCAAGTCAGCTGCACCAGACAAGAGGAAAATTAGAATCGTTGCATAACATGACGGATATTTTTCACACTTCTTGCATTTGTAATCGCACGTTACCCACTTGGGTTTAGGTTATTGAGACAGACGTAAATCAGTCCTTAAAAATCTGAAAAAATGTTTGATAATAAGTACAGCATTACCCTTACCCTGGTCAGTAATCTCAGAACAAAAGCCGAACTCCCTGAAGGCTTTGGCGAAGTTGCTGGCGTTGTCTGTGACCGTGTCTACGACCTTCTCCTGCGAGATGTCGAAGGACTGCCTAATGTCTTCCAGCATTTCTGCTATCCTGTCGTACGTGTGGCTTCCAGGAAACCTCCTGCAGGCCAGTGCGAGCGACCTCCGAGAATGGGTGTCAGCATCGATCTAAATAAATATACAAATATTATCATTCATTAGTTACTTAATCATGATTTTCCACAACTTCTACTTTTTAATACAGAATATGTTATAGGAATGGCCTCAGGCACTTCCGGCGACGCCTTCTAGGTAACGAAGGTGCGGAACACGAAAATTGAAATAGAAAAGACACTGGCAGCGCTCCGATACGAAGCAGCGTCCCTCATATTATGAATCCGATGTCTTAAACACTGAACTACTAGGGACTTTTTTACGAATCTCTGACCCTCATACTGTGAATCCGGTGTCTTAACCACTGTACTACCGCTCTCTGAGGAAACCATATGCTTCGATTCACCTTATACGTGGGCGAAGCATAAAATCTACGTGACCTACCCGTTCCACTCCCGCTCGAGCGCTACTTTCGGCAGGGCTTTCTTCCGGAGACGCTGTTTCCAGCAAGCTGATGGAAGCTCCCCAAAATAATGCGTACACATTCTGTGTTACGACTGCCTTTGCCACGGTAGTGAAGGAAAGGGACACATTTTGTTTTATTCACAACACAAAGCGCTTACCCAATGAACCGTGACACCCATGAAGCTACGATGGTGAGTGGACCAGATGTCAGCTGTGGTTGCAACATAGCTTTGACCAGACAACTTCTCTCGCGCGTCATCCAGAAACTTTTACCATTCCTCATCAATTCGCCGACCTAGGGAGCGTCGCGACATCACACTAGTTCCTGGGCGCAAGCCTAAAATAGAAAAAGAGACAATGTACAATTATAATGCAGTCTGATTTCGCACAGAATTGAAAGCTCACCTGTTACAAGCTGTATGAAGCCTGGCTCTTCGACTGTCGATAATGAATACAACCCACCCACAACGAACTTGACGATCAGATTGTCTACTTCGGGCTGAGTCAGTTGACTCCCGGGAGAGCAAAACAGTTTCGTTTGGCGCATTTTGTCAGCAGGGGCGTCGGCCTTTCTCTTGACTGCTTGTTGTCTCCACCCTTCTTTGTACTCGTCGAACCTTCTTAGCTCTTGTGGAGGCACGCGCTGAAACAAAATAAGTATCGATTAATTATATAGCCGCCAAACAAGTAATATCACACAAAGCGTACTTCCGTAAGCTATGCAAATGCACCGTTTTGATACATAAGACAGCACTGAAAAATTAGATACATATAGATACACTCTGTTCGACTCAATGCATTTCTTGGCATGTTAAAAGCAAACAAAAAATCTAATTTATGGTGATTCTGCACCTACCTTTAAGTGAAGCTTGAAATTCGAGGTTGACGAGTAGGCGCCACAGATGGTCGCTTTACAAAGCGAACAGGCAGCCTTTACTCTGTCGTCCCTAGATGAAATCACGGTAAAATACTTCCCGTCCAAGATGGCACAGCGAGGAGTATTGTCGTTGTCTGCCATTGCTAGCCCGTCGACGCGGCGGAACAAATAACTTTCAACTCCAAGACTGGGACTGCGAAGTGCGCACCATACAGTCGGAAATATCAAGTGAAGTTCCGCGGAAAAGAAAACCAAGGACAGAGCTCAGCCTGGCCGCCTAGCGTTTTGCAGACGGCGCCCTCCTGTCTGGCTCCTGTAGTGCTCTGGGCGGCCGTGCAACCCGGGTTTGCTATAGGCACACAAAAAAAAGGACCATGCCCGTGCAGAGATTGCGAAACCGCTCGACTTTCTTTCGATCGTGTTTCTTTGTTTGTTGTTTTAGCCGCGGACACAAGATTTGTTTACTTGATGTTGTCTTTTCGGAGGCCTTCTATGCTCTAGCTTCCCCTGAACAAGAGTGAAAGAAAACGCAGCTTCGATTTAGAAGCGCACTTTTGCAAGTATCGGGTATTTTTGCAATACACGATACTTTCAAAAAGTATCTTCGATACCGATACTTCGATACATGTTTTTCTGGCAAGAGATACCAGATACAAGATACTCAACTGTATCGAAAGATAGTATCGAAAATACATGTATCTTCGATACTGCCCAGCTCTGTATAAGTGGTCTTACAAAAGCTGCGAACTCGTTTGCCTCATGCCCTCTGTTGCCGCCCTTCTTTTTAAAGTCGAAAAAAAAAAGTTTACAATACAAGACACCGCCCGGTTATTTTCTTTATTGATTTTAGAGGGGCTCATAGATCGCCGGATGGATGCATGTTCGCCGTTTTATCTGCCTTCGCCGCTTATTTAATCTAGGACTTTCTTGGTCATGGCGCCACCGCTTCAAACAATGAAAGGGTGTTGTTCGAGCACGATACCTACCGTGCCCACTTCTGAAGAAGCCGTAAATCTCTCCAAGAGGCTTCCCAACCCACTCGACGCGCCGCTCCCCTCTTGGGAGCTACACGAACTCACCGAAACAGCAGAGCCGAATTCATCCAACCGTCGCAGCTTTGCATCAAGACCTATAACACTGTTCCCCCTAAGCCGCCGTTGCGTTGGGAGCTACGCGCTCGCCGAACAATTTTTCGTAGCTCGACTCCGCGTTCCGGGACGGTGATAACGTGGCAAAACAGAAAGGTACTCGTGGTCCAACAAGCAAACAAGCACCAGCTTCCAACTCATCGTCAGCTTACGGGCACATGGAGTATGGGGCGGCAGCACGAAGTAACTTAAAGGCCACTTTATTTCAACGGTAACCACAGCTGTCGGTCCCTAATGCCGATTATCTACTTGTCTCACTGTGTGCGTTAACTTTTTCCCTAATGACAGTGCTGTAGCGAGGTCCGCACAGCAGCGTCGTGGTTGACTTCCGTGTTTAAGTATATACTACTTGTTCCGAAGACTTGAGTTTAGCTCAGAGACCGACGTTTAAGGGCACACAAAGTAAATCGTCCTGCGGTGTGCTCGTGCGATGTACCGAAGTGGCGTTCCCTCTCAACGCCCACCGGCATTCATGCGGCCCTCCTGCCGGGAAGACTGAACGTTTAGTTGACTTCAAAGCTCCAACGAGACAAGAAGAAGAAAAAGTCGGGGAGACAACTTGTCAGCGTAGCCATCAAAACACAAAAGATTCGCAGGAGACCGCATGGGGACCAACTGTTTTAAGAAGGCTCGGTCGGCGCGTTTACTCCCGGACCGCGGGGTACGCGCCGAGAAAGTCTAGCTCAACCAGACGTTCTGCCCTGATGGACCTCCGAACAGTGTTCGGTTTTCCGCTAGCTTTTTTTTTCTTTTCTTTTCTGACGTTGTTTTTCCTGGACCTTCCAGTCAAGAAGAAGCGCGTATTTATTTATAGACCGGACGCACAATGCACATTCCGCCCGTGGAGCGCGCTGCCTTCTCGCCCTCGAGGTCCGTCCACTCTGCGGTAAAACGATTAGGCGACTGCGCTCCCTCTGTTCGCTTCCCTGTGAGCAGCGTTACGCCACTGCGCTTCTCTCTATTTAATGGCGCATTTTCGCAAAGCTCTACTTCTAACGACCGCGTAACCGCGGACGAAGGCGTCTGCTCCGGCTAGGCGGGAAAGTCGGCGAACAGCTCGGGATTAAATAATCCTATCTTAAGGATGCAAAGACGACTGCCAGTTTGCGTGTCTTATTTTTTTTACCCAACAGCTTCGGAAAGATGCGTGTTTTGTTTGTGAAATTTCCTGTCATCTGCGGTGGCTTGTTTATAACTCAGTCTTTTTTCTTATCACCGCTGTTCGGAGCTACGAGGCGTGGTAGACCTAGACTTACGACGAACACAATCATGAACCAGCCACACGACTGGTTCTTGATTGTGTTTATCAGATGATGCTATAGTTTTATTGGCTGCTTATAATGGCAGACGATCAGGGTTGACCACATGCTATCCGAGATAAACTGAAGGAATGTTCTGAGAAGCTCCTTCGTGTATTGTGCAAGGTATATGTACAGATGGTAGCGAAACTTGGGCCAAAACACGGTACAAAACAAATTGCCAGCGACATCAACCAGGAGGGTCACGTGGTTACGGTGCGTTTGAAGCGCGACTAGGAGAGGTTATGGCAAACTATATACAAATAAAATAACTTTAATTTAAATTATACTAAATTGTATTTTTAAATTTTGTATGTTGTTATTAGTGGTCTTAAATAAGGTTTATTGCGCTCGAGAAAGCTGAAATAGCTTTTATTACTACTGATATTCTAACTTGCCCTTAGCGCCCTCTGTACTGCACAAGCAACAAGGCTGGCTTTTAATAGCGATAAATTGCAGAGGCATCGTGCTGCACGAAGAGGCAGGTTCTTGTTGTCCGTCTGCTTGCTTCTTTTAGGTCTCCACGTGCTTTTTGAATCGTTCTACCGTCACTTCAAATAGTTTGAAAAGTTTAGTTCGCTCAGCCTGATTACGCAAGTTACGTGCGCAGGAGCGTAATATCAGCGTGATATAGGAACAGTCACCTTCGTGCGGTTGGACGCTACTGCGTCCGACGGGCTCAACGTCCTTCGTGACAATGAGCTCAACACGTTATGCAACCAGGCGTTGCTCCGTGGAAGAATGCCGAAGTGACAACCGCACGGCTGGCGTCTCGCTGCACCGGTTTCCTGTCGACACTCGAAGGTGAGATTTTGTTCCTGTCAGTGAGGTGCCTGCTGTGTTGTGGCCATGACCCCCTTGTAAAATGTTCTCTTAACTGTTGTTAGTTTTCGCTGACTTTGCAGCGTTGTTCGCGCTCATTACGAAAGCGCCCAGGATATTTGAATTTACCTGAACCGATTTGCCCCTCAGGAGTATGGGGTCATACTCATCGACGCTCTAATCAAGGATGCAACACGACATAGATACATTTAAAAGCCTCTGCACTAAAGGCTCATGTTTATCTTTTTGTGGTTCATACAGAGAGTTTTGCTCACTAATCTGTGAATGTCCTCGCTCCGATTTGCTTTGGTGTGTGCATATATTGGCTACATTTGCTCTTTGCAAGTACGCAAGACACTTAGATAGCACCGCGCTTTATCCGCAGGCGTGAAGCATGGGTTCGGTTCTCCAACAACCGGGGCCTACAGTGGAAGACTCCATGGCAGCTACGAAACATGGTTGTTTGCTCTTTACATTTCAAGGCGTCAGCTTTCCTGCGGCCTGGATACCTACGCCACAATGCAGTGCCGACTGTGCTTGCCCCTGAAGGTGACCAGACCACTAGACCTTCCGACGCGCTTTGAGAATAACCATGTCAAGGCCCACTGATTAGGGAAATAGTTAGCACATGGGCCCGAAAAATTGCTTTTGTGGACTTATAACATTTATGCAATTTCACAGAAACGACACGTGGCGAAGTTTCAAGCGAGAGCTGTACAGTTTCTGCAGTGGCAAATGGTGAGCTTTTTCGCTGTACCTACCATAAAGAGGCAGCAAATGCCGTCACCACTGTGTTAGTTCATGTTCTTCATCACTTGAGCATTTTGCTATAGAATAAAGTCTGCTTGGACAAATGTGGGGAATCAGATAGGAGTCATTCATTGAGTCTCATTCCAGGCCCCATTTACTACATTTTTAACCTCAGGTGAGTAAGCGACTCCAATATGGGCCCACAGACCTGCATTGTCCACGTTGACAAGCAGCTTTCGGAAATGAAGCTGTCCTTGAAATAAGGTTATTTCCCTTTTCCGATGTTAAATATAAGCGAATTGGGGAGAAATTCAACCGCTACTCTTTCACTAATTTCATATTAAATTTGCAGGAAGGAGTTCTCCAGCCCCACCGACCTACCGATACCCGGGCCGCTCGGACTCCCAGAGTTCCTGTGGCATTCCTGACGACCAGTCTTCCGAAATGGAACTGTCCTTAGAAGAAGGTGATTTTTATTTTCAGATTTTAAAATAGGAGAATCAACCAAGAATTCAACCGCTACTCCTTCAATAACTTTGTGTTAAATATGCAGGGAGGAGTTCTCTATCTTCATCGAGCTGCACATCCTCCAGCCGCCCAGACTTGCGGAGTTCCTGTGGCATTCCTGACGACCAGTCTTCCGAAATGGAACTGTCCTTAGAAGAAGGTGATTTTTATTTTCAGATTTTAAAATAGGAGAATCAACCAAGAATTCAACCGCTACTCCTTCAATAACTTTGTGTTAAATATGCAGGGAGGAGTTCTCTATCTTCATCGAGCTGCACATCCTCCAGCCGCCCAGACTTGCGGAGTTCCTGTGGCATTCCTGACGACCAGTCTTCCGAAATGGAACTGTCCTTAGAAGAAGGTGATTTTTATTTTCAGATTTTAAAATAGGAGAATCAACCAAGAATTCAACCGCTACTCCTTCAATAACTTTGTGTTAAATATGCAGGGAGGAGTTCTCTATCTTCATCGAGCTGCACATCCTCCAGCCGCCCAGACTCGCGGAGTTCCTGTGGCATTCCTGACGTACGGTCTTCAGAAATCGAGCTGTCACTGGAAGAAGGTGATTTTTTTTTTAATAGGAGAATCAACCAAGAATTCAACCGCTACTCCTTCAATAACTTTGTGTTAAATATGCAGGGAGAAGTTCTCCATCTTCATCGAGCTGCACATCCTCCAGCCGCCCAGACTCGCGGAGTTCCTGCGACATTCCTGACGTATGGTCTTCCGAAATCGAGCTGTCACTGGAAGAAGGTGATTTTTTTTTTAATACGAGAATCAACTAGGAATTTAACCGCTATGCCTTCAATAACTTCATGTTAAATTTGCAGGGAGGAGTTCTCCAACTTCATCGACCTGCACATACTCCAGCCGCCCAGACTCGCAGAGTTCCTGTGGCATTCCTGACGACCAGTCTTCCGAAATCGGGCTGTCCCTGGAAGAAGGTAATTTTTTTTTTCATTTTCAGATGTTAAAAAAGTAGAATGAATCTGAAATTCAACCACTAATTCACTGTTTTCACATTACCTTCGCAGAGGGATGTTCGTCAGCTTTGTGGGACCACACATATTCCTGTCTCCCACTAGAGAACAGTCCACTGGAGGCTCATGGTAAGTGATGGGAGAGCAGGGCGTTTCTGCGCGCCTTGTTGCTCTGACTTTTTTGTGTTTTTTGCTCTTACTACAGTTATTGTAACAGCACTTTCTATTTTTTCTATTTATTTTGAAGCTGATCATAGCTACGCCCTTCCTCAAAATGCTGTTCCTGCTCACGAGTCCAGCGGAGACATGGCTGACATGGCGCCGTCGATTTATGGACCGTCACCTGAGGACTCTCTCTCTAGCAGTGCCGGTGTACTTTCTCACAGAGGTAAGTGCTCTTTCATTTTACCTCTTGCACCTTTTTGTTTTGTATTGTTAAAGTGCACAAATTAGTCGCCGAACATAAACAACCAAGGCTAGTTATAGGTATCAGATGACTTGAAGATACTAAAATTTATTCTGAAAGTTGGCGGTACATACAAGGGTACATATAGCACTATGTCACAGAACACAAGGCCGGATGGCAGCCAGCTACAAACTGGAGTCAGTTGAAAATCCACCATTTATTTGTGCTTCACATTATTATATTTAAAGTAATGTATACAAAATGTTCATAAAGTTTCACAGACGAACCACCAAAACACCTGAATGGGTTTCACTGAATGGTAATGCAATAATCTTTTCGCAAAGCCTCGTGTAAGGCAGCATTTTTTATAGCTAGCTAAAAACTGCCTGGGCCATACGTGCATGATGCTAACCTTATTTAAATTTGATTTGCACGTATGTAGTACGTTATCAAACTTTTCACTGTACCTGGTTTTAAAAAAAAATTGTGCAACTTGACAAGGAATGCAAGTTCTTATTGGCCACCATTTACATATATATAAACATTTTTACAGTTTACTGATCTGGGTGATTTGTCACCTTGCAGCATCAAGCAAGGCCCGCAGCACTGACAAGAGAAAGATGGACGCACTGAGGGCCAAGGTACGACAGTTCCGAGAACAAAACAAGAGGCTGCAAAGAAGGCTGCAACGACAGCGTCAGATGAGGACTGTTGCTGAAGTTGTTGAGAGTGTCCGCATTCATGTTTCTCCAGCTGTCGCTGCACTCGTTGAGGCCCAGCTTAGGATGAGGGATGTGAGCCGGTTTGGTCGACGGTGGTGCAGCCAGAACAAGTCTTTGGCTTTGGGCCTCTACTTTCATAGCCCAAAAGGCTATAAGTATTGTAGACGACTGCTTCGGTTGCCATCAGTCCGATCACTGCAGCTGTGGCTTCAGCGTGTTCCACTGAGAGTTGGATTTTACCCCGAAATTTTCGAGCTGGTAAAGAGGCGAGCGACTTCTTTTTCACGAGCCGATCGAGCCTGCAGCATAGTGTTTGATGAGATGCATATTAAAAAAGAGCTCTCATACAACCCCTCATCTGACAGGTTTGAAGGACTTGAAGAGTATAGTAATGGTGTGCAAGGTGCGAACCTATCAAACAAGGCTCTTGTGTTTATGGCAAAAGGAATTCGAACACCATGGAAGCAGCCACTTGGCTACTTTTTCGCTCATAAAGGCACACCTACGAATGTCCTACAAGATCTTCTTTTCCAGTGCTACAGCCTCCTTGTGGATGCTGGCCTGGAGCCAGTAGCTGTGGTATGCGATCAGGGGAGCCAAAACATCTCCCTTTTTTCAAGCCTTATAACCCCCGAGAAGCCTTACATAAATGTCAACGGCAAACCTCTTTTTTTCCTTTTTGATGCTCCGCACCTCCTGAAGTGCCTCAGAAACATGCTATTTAAGTATGACTTCAAGGTTTGTGATCAAGTAGTAAAAAGCTCGTACATAAAGGAAGCTTATGAAAAGGACCGGAAACTTGAGATCCGTTCGATGCCCAAGCTGAACGCAAAGCACTTTGATTTGACGTTCTGCTCAAAGATGTCGGTGAAACTAGCGGCCCAAGTTTTTAGCAACCATTGTGCTGCTGCAATGTATGCCTTCGTAACGTTCCAGCAATTGCCAGCTGCAGCTATTCACACAGCGAGATTCATTGAAAGAATCGACCGTCTCTTTGACAGCCTAAATAGCTCCCACAAATTGGCAAAAACGCCCTTCGCCTCTGCGATGCATAATGGCTCTGTCCATGAAGAGTTTTTCAAAGAGTGCATTGAAGTTTTTGAAACCCTGCAAGTACTCTGATGTAGACGGCAGCCAAACTGCATTCGTGGCTTTTGCTTAACAATGAGGTCTCTGATGATGCTCTGCAATCACCTCACAGTTAATTTTGGTTTCACCTACATTTTAACCCGCCACTTAAACCAGGATACGCTTGAAAACACCTTTGCTATTATACGTTCGAAGTCTGGAGCAAACGCAAACTCTACTTCTCGTCAGTTTCAGGCAGCGTTCAGACATCTTTTGGTAAGCAACTTGTTCAAGCTGACTGAAAAATCAAACTGTGCTGAGGACATGATGTCCCTCCTTGCTACTCTTCCGGTAGGCCTATCGGCACCCTCTGCTTCTCTACCCTTGGGAAGCTCAGTTTTCCTTAGCGCAGCAGACGAGTCGCCCTTAAACTACCCTTCGGCCATGGTAGCGAACAACATGGTTTATTTTTCTGGGTGGCTTGCGACAAGATTTTTGAAGGGTCATTCTTGTGTCGGGACATCTCAGCGATGTGAGCTGAAGAAAGAAAATGCATGTTTTTCTGAAGGAAACCAAGTTTTACTGTACTTGAGTGTGAAAGGCACTGCTGACTCGGACTTTGGAAACCTGTCAGTTCCCTCCCCTTCCTTCACATCATTCGTTGAGGCATGTGAGCGTGTTTTCGAGGCGAGGATCAACAACCTTGTTTCAAAGGAGGGCATAGGGCGCACTCTTTGTGTACTTTTTCATCAGGAGGTCCAAAAGTCTCTTGTTGTGTGTGACAACAATGTGTATGACGACTTGTTTTCTCTGTTTGCAAGAGTCAGGCTACACTGGTTTGCACGAAAAAAAAACACTGAACTTGTTGATGCATCAGCAAGGTGTAAAACTAGGCAGCACGTGCAAAGGCTAAGCTCTTGAGACTACACAGCGTACATTTTAAAAGTAGTATATGTGCTTTCCTAGCCTTTCGTATGGTATAAAAGACTATTTTCGTTTGCTCGATATTTTGCAACGTGTCTCGAAAAAATCTGGCGGGCGCACAATTTCGCGATCTAGAACAATATTTATTGCTTTCATATCCTTGGACTGAGTCATTTTTCGCGAGGTTTTTCAACATGTGAAATTATTAAATTTTAGGTCATCGCGAAAGTCAAGGTGCTTACTGTGCTTTGGGTTACTGACTGCTCATGTCGTTTTGTCACTGAATTAAACCTGTGGTTTTAGGGTCCGACGAAACACTGGCCTATTACCTGCAGCGTACTGGAGGGCAGCAAAATTATTTACGCGTACAAGGGAGGTTACAGAGTACACAGCACCATCATACTCAAGTTAGAAAGTTTTCTGGATTATGGTACCTTGCCAAACAACGGCAAAATCGGCTGTTATTTTCGTTGAATACAGCTTTCCTCCAAACACTTTGAATTTTTTTTATATTGATGGCTGTCTATAAATTGACAATGTCCACACAACAGGCAACCAATTGTACAGTGTGTTACGTGCTATCCTGTCATAATGTGCCTTGTGTATTGATCTAGTTTTCTTCCACCTTAAAACTAGGTATGATTGTATGCTTCTGACGAGCGTTCTGGTTGAGTGATTGTAAGCAGTTTTAAGTGAATAAATTGTTAGTGCAACATTGGACTGCATTTGAGTTACTGTTGCGTATCTTCAACGCTAACACACTCGAGAAACGTTATTGTTATTCACTTTGTTTGTGAGGTCAATCACCTTAAAGCCGCTCCCACATTTCTGAAAAGCTGAAGAAAAAAGCAAAAGTAGTTCTGTGGGATGAAAAAAAAATATTCTCGTAGTGAGCTGCCTAAAAAAGGCGGCCGCATACACAAATTAAATTATTTTCGCGCAGATTTAAGAGTCCAAACGGGGTGGGGTAAATTCAACATAAAAAAACCGAGACTGCAGGCAAGAAGGACAACACACTAAAAGAAGTCAAACATAGCTTGGCACAGCTTTGTTTGAGATTTTTTAGTACCAGAAAGCTTTGAGGCTTTTTTTAGAAATCGGGATTGCAGGCAGAAAGGACGATCGTCCTTTTTGCCTGCAGTCTCGGTTTCTTGTTATATTTAATTTTCGCGCCAAACAATACATCAAAGTGACGTCACGTTTTTGGTTTTTTTTTTCGGAAGTGACGTAACTTCCTGTTTATTTTTTGTTCCGCCGGAAATGTTATCACGACACATAGATGGCGCTAGCGAAGCCCCATGAGCCGCCATTTTTTCGACACGTGGGGTTCTATGGAAGCTTCGCTACCATATGTACATATACCTTGTATTGTGTATCTAATCAGTTTAACAATTTTTTGAATGGCGGTTTGTATCATATGCTCCAACGGACATGCGGCTCCAGTGGCAGAAGAGGGGGAGGGGGATACCTACTTTAGGAAACAACGCGCACATTGGACTATAATACCAACCGAATTTCTCAAATGGTTAAACGGACGAAAGAAGGACCAATGATTGACCTTCCGAGTTAATTGGTGGGTGCTATACA